AGGTGTTCCTTCTTAGTCCTCCCTCGATGAGCTTTTTACACCTCTTCTCGTCCTCCATTTTAACCGCAGCTTCTAATTGTATACCCCAAACTTCGGGCAGGCATTCTCAGAAATGAGCGTCTTGGTGGTCTCCTGCTTGTGCTCGTGCAGTAAGTTTGAAACTCGCTGCATGGGGCAGATACCGGTACAATAGAACCACGGAGAGACTTCTTGATTTTAAGCAGAAGTGTGCGATCGCTCGCAGTGTCATCCGTGACTCTAAACACACTTGCTGGTGAGATTGTCTCCACCATCACCTCTGCTTCCTCTTGAGTGCAGTCTGGGAAAAAGTACGAAAACTCAGTGGTAAATATTCTGACCCAGCTCCTGTTCTGCGGGTTGCCGGTGTTGATATAGCAAACCCACTAGATGTTGCCAATAAAATTGGCAATCATCTGGTCTGTATTTCTCATAGACTCCATCTATGCCCCTGATTTCTTTCCTCAGTCTGCCAGTTAGCACCCTTCGACTTAGAAGAACAGTATAATGTGCCTTTTACACTTAAAGAACTGGAGGAAACACTCAGCTTGATCATCGGCAGCTGGGCCCGACGACATTCATATTCGTAGGCTACAAAATTTACATCAGTCAGCCCTTGCAGTCCTATTATACCTTTACAATCTTACTTGGTCACAAGTTCTTCCACAGCTGTGGAAATCCACCATTGTCCTCCCTTTCTGCAAACCAGGCACTACAGGACATGAAGCCTCCCACTATCGTCCCATTGCTCTTACCAGTGCAGTTTGCAAAGTGATGGAATGCCTAGTAAATAGAAGTTTAGCGTGGTATTTAGAAAAGTCTCCACTCGTCAATATGGCTTTCGTAAGGGACGTTCTACCATAGACCCCTTACTATGCTTGGATACGTATGTTTGTAATGCCTTTGCGAATAACTACTCGGTTATTGCCATATTTTTTGACCTTTAAGGCATATGACAACTTGGAAGGCTAATATTATAGCCCAAGCCCACTCCTTGGGCCTTACAGGCAATCTACCATCCTTAAGAACTTTTTAACTGACAGGCATTTCAGTGTTCGGGTTAATAATGTGCTCTCCCCAGACTTTATCCAAGCTGAAGGTGTCCCCCAGGGATGTGTTCTGAGCACAACACTTTTTCTCCTTGAAATTAAAGATTTGGTCTAGTCTTCCATCCAATATTTGGTAATCACTGTTTATTACTTCGCTATTGCCTGTGCAGGCGCTGACTGTCGCCTCATTAGTTTCTCTCCAGCATGCAATCTACCGTGTTTCCAATTGCGCCACCACACTGGTTTAAATTTTCCAGTACTAAAACCCACCAAATTACTTTCACTAGATGCTCTCATCTCTGATCCTTCGTACCTCTATGGCTCCTGTATCCCTTAATGTGTTACAGTAAAGTTTCTGGGCCTCTTTGACCGTAGGTTATCCTGGAAACCTCACATTACCTCTCTGAAGGCAACTTGTCACAGCCAGCTGAACCTTCTTAAAACCCTTGCTAATCATTCATGGGAAGCTGATCGTCGAACCCTCCTTCGCCTACATTCCACCCTCATTTTATCGAAACTTGGTTATGGTGACCAGTTTTATTCAGCGGCATCTGCTACTCTAGCCTTAACCCCATTCATCACCAAGGATTACGTTTATGCCTTCGTGCTTTTTGCTCTTCCCCTGTCGAGAGCCTCTATGCAGAAGCGAACGTTCCATCCTTATCCAATCGCCGTGATGCCCATTGCCTTCGCTACTATGTACGTTCTCATGATCTCCGCAATCCTTCCATTTATAGTGGTCGCTGATATTAGTAGACATCTTTATTTGTTCGCCACCCCTGTTTACTCCGTCCCTTCTCTCTTCGCCTTCATTCGCTCTTGTCTTCTCTTCAATTACGACCTTTCTATGTTAATGTAGCATCTCTTTTTTTTTTTTTCCCCTACCCCCTTGGGAAGTTCCAGCTGTTAGTCTGTTCTTTCTCTCCCTTGCTCGAAAGCCCAACTGTCTACGGTCGCTTCCCGCTCTTTATCTTTACCACTTCCACTCTCTCTCATGCCATTGCTGTGCACACAGATGGTTCAAGTCTTCTGACGGCGTAGGATTCGCAGGAGTTTCCGGACGTCGTCGTACGCGGGCATTTACTATCTTCGGCTAGTATCTTTACTGCAGAGTTGTATGCCATCCTTGCAGCACTTATCTGTATTGCATCTATGCCTATTACTTGTGATTGACTCCCTTATAGCTTTACAGGCTATACAGAAATTAGATACCTCACCCCTTAGTCCTCCGTATCCAACTTTAGCTACGCCGCATCTTTACCAATCATAAAGATTGTTTTTTGTTGGGTCCCTGGTCATGTTGACTTGCAGGGCAATGAATAGGCAGATGCTGCTGCACGGTCAGCAGTACATGACCTACCAGTTTCGTAGTTATTCCATTTATGGACTATTTTTGCTGCAATATCTTCCCACCTTCACACCCGTTGGCAAGAACGTTGGTCTACTATGCTCGGCAACAAACTTCAATCTATTAAACAGTATGTTACTGGCCGTCTTATCACCAGTGTCGAGGGGGAGAGACTACTCTCCCGTCTTCGCATTGGCCATACTAGTCTTGCTCGAGGAGAGGCGCCCTGCTCCTGTGAGAATTGCCAAGCTCCATTATCAGTCAGCCACATTCTGTTGGACTGCCCACTTTATCAACGAGCACGCAGAATATACCTCCGTAGTCCTCGCTCCGCTGCTCTCTACCTTTCCTTCTCGCTGATGGACCCACCTTTCATCCGGACTCTCTCATTGACTTTTTGACAACTGACTTCACAAATTCTGATACCTTCAGCCCTTTCTTCTTCAATCTCTTGCTGCCCTCAACCCCCGTACTATCCCCTGCCCCGCTTTTTTCTGAAACCTACTGATCATCCCTCTCTTCTGCCATCCAATACCCTCTTCCAATACCCTTCCTTCCCTCTTCCAATACCCTTCCTTCCCTACCCTGCAGCGCTGTATAGCCCTTGTGGCTTAGTGCTTATTTTGTATTATAATAAAACTTTTCTATTTAGCTAAGCCAATCTAATGTCTTAAGATTTTTCTTACTGGTTGCGTGGGTAAAGGGGAAAGGGATCCTGGACATACACTTCAACATGGAAACTGCAAAACCATTACCATCTACTCGGCAATAACGTAGCCTCTCCTATCAGCTAGGCCTTCTTGCCACCTCCTTCCCCCCAATACTTTCCCTCTTTACCTACACTAACGTGGTTTAGGGTAGCACCCATTGTTTGGTACACTAGGCAGATTACTTCCCCTCCCCATATCTGAAATTGCCACAAATAACCTAGTTATTCCAGTGATACCTGCCATCAGGTAAGGTGGAACATCTTTAAGTATGCCACATCTGATTGGCAAGACATCACGATATTTTACTTCAGCATATGCAATCTTGGGCTACACGAGCACAAGTATACAGGGATATCTTTTACCATTTATTAATCATAAACCTTGACCCTAATCTTTCTAGTGAAGTATTCTCGTTGAATGAGACTTCATCTGAAAATCTATTGTTTTCCTAAACCATTTTATATTTACTCTAAATACCTCTCATACTTAAATCTAATTAAATGCCACTCTTCTGCCTCTTGAATCGAAAATATAAATGTCCCTATTCTCGGAATATAGCACTTGTTCCTAGAACAGACCCGATAACACATTTATATATCGCACTATTTTTGTAGCAATTTATATCAAAGCAGCTGAACTTTACTCCCATATTGTCCTTACCTTAATAGGCGTTATGGAAGTTTCCCTACTGAACTACAAAACCTGAGCTTTACAAGTGTAATTATAAATTTCCTTAAATCTGGAAAATTAGTGTGGAAGGTGACTTACCCTCCCTTATTCTTAGGACTAAAATTTGTCACGATTGAGTTTGTCCGGATTTCATAACTGTAAATGCCATTGCCTTGGCTTTAATCTGCTGAAAGCCAAGACATTTAACTTCAAAACAAATTCACACCTTCACCAGACTGTTTAACCTTAATTGCTTAGTTTTCAGGTTTCTCAAATGTATTCCTAAATCCTGTCTAATCTGCAATCTGCTTTACCATGGATCTGCTATAACTCTGCCCTAGCTAAATTTCGGGTTAGTGCAAATGTCGACCTGGCTTGAAGCATTGTGCTTATTGGAAGGTTAAAGCGGACGCTGGCGTCCAGATGCTGGACCCTCCTGATTTTTGTGCTGTCAAACTTTGGCTTTGATGTTATCCCTTGGGCATTGAATACCTAACTTCGCCTTTCCTCCCCCCCCCCCCCCTCGTAATTACCTTTGCTAATCTCATCGGTCATGATTACTAGGTTCACTGCGAGATTCCTCGCTAGCTTCATTGGTTCTTGCTCTCCTGGGCCCAGTATACTTGGCCTTATGATCACCGCTATTTTGTGTACTCGAAAAGGTGTTCAGCTGGTTCCTGGTCAGTGTTCTGGCAAACGATTGCAGAAATTCTGCAAATCTTTCCTACTTGAATTACCCTTGTAGGTTTAGCGCTTCATAATAAGTTTGTCCTACTTAAACCTCTCCACACTTAAGTGGAAGCTACACACTTAAGACCTGTTTTTTCAGGGAGGGGGGGGGACAAATATAGGGACCCCATTTAACTATAAATGAAAAGTAGAATGTCAAAGCTAAAGTTTTATTTTTTTTTCTCCCCCCCCCCCTTCTCTTCAACTTGTTTCCTACGGTGAACAGATAAGGAAGGTTTGTCCATGGTTTTATTTTTAATTACCGGGAGCTATTATAAACTTAGCCATGGTAATTTGGTGGGTTTTAGCTTTAACCTTAATTTTTTTTTCCCTGGTTTGTTGCATATAATCACTCCTGGTGAAGAACTAATGCTTAAATTCATGCGATGGTTTGAATAGATCAAGCGTATAACTTCATCTTTTTCCTTCGGTATACTACACGACCGTCAAATATCCTTTTAACTTTTGATTTTACAGACTGGCTCTCATGAAGAATGGCATATATCAAGTTACTGCTTATGGTACCGAGAGAAGCTTTGAGCATGGGTCAAATTCAGTCTTTCTGGACTTGCATAATGAAGACAGGATCTTTCTAGAACTTCAGCAAGGCAGCATTTACGAGCATCCTGGTGACGAGGCTTACACCACTTTAACTGGATTTCTTCTCTTTGAATACTAAGCCTTTTCTAGTGTCCAAATTTGTAATTGAGTTTAACCAGTTGCAATAAATTTTAACGGTTACTTGGTTTTTATTTGTAACAGTGGCCAGTCTTCAGCCTTGGCTCGAGAATTTGACTAATTTAAAGTCTCTTCAAGGGGGACAAGAGTTCCTCGACTTAAAAAATTGATCTGAGGAATAGAACACTTGTCTTCCTCCAACCGAACCTAACAATCCCCATCTTCCTTTCCAATGTTTGGCCTTTATTCTCTTCTAAATTCTAGCTCCTAGGTTTCAAAGGGTGTAATTGTCCTTCCCATTCCCTTTAGGTCTTTGGTGTTTGCTGTGGAATCTGCCTAGTCTCTTGATTACCCTAAAGAATTCTAATGGGGGGGATGGGGAGGGACTTATGTTCACCAGATAAGTTTAGCGCTTTTTTTTTTTTTTGTGATGTCCACCCAGATGACTGGTGTATCTCAGGCTGCCTGTCAGTTCTGGGAGGCGGTGGCGGCTGAAATTGACCCGTGGCTGGCTTCAAACCGCCGCAGTTTGTCCGGCGAGATGGCTGGCTGGATGTGCGATTGCTATCCTGCATCGCAAATTCACTGGCGTGAAGGATAGGGCAAGGGTTCCACGTCGCAGTTATGCTACCAGAGGTACTGGTGGCTCTTGAGCATTGAAGGGGATAGTCTCATTCTTTCCTCCTAGAAACTACCCTCCATGCAATTTTTTGGGGGGGAGGGGGGAGAGGGAACTTAACATAATCGCATGCCCACCAAGTTCCTCTGACCCTTTCCTCCCGATAGTCTCAACTTTGCCTCGTTATTAACCATTTTTCGGACCTTAACACCTTGTACCTTCAGGTAACATTTCGTTGCCTGCCTCTGGTACAGTGGTTCTGCCCGACTATTGATATGTACCACTTCTGCACGTCTGATTCTGGCAGCTTCCACTAGTAACTATTTTCCAGACCACCTGCCCATCTTGATGACTACCTCTGGTCCCCCCCCCCCCCCACCTGAATAACCACAGACAGACTAGTTACTTCTCGCCCTTACCAGAAGACTCTTCTTAATGTTTCAAGGTACACAATGGAATATCTCCCCCCCCCCCTCTAAGACTTCTTCCACTGTTATCGGTACCAGCAAGGGATTCTTGTGCAAAGTTGATACTCTTATGCTAGTGGTGCATGCAGTCACTGTACGAAATGCTGGCCAGGCTCTTTACTTCCTTAATGATACTAGTGAAAAAAATTCTTAAGCCTCAATTCTTGCCGTGGTACTGTAGTTCTTCCAAATAAGTTTGTTAAACATGATTCGGGACAAGATATTAACACTTCGAATAACTTCAGCAAATGCCTCCCAATTCTTAAACTTTCGTACTACCTACGTGCAGGCAGACTTTCTCTGTAGTGTTCACTTTGACTTGTGGACTTCGGTTTTGTGTATTACGGGACCGTTTAAAAGTACGGCAATAGATTCTTGCACCGGTGTATATATTGCTGGGGCTTTGGCCACTGCAATATTTTAAAGTCCATGGCGGAATGCCCGGTCCAGTGCTACTGACCATAATACAGCCTGCAGCCAACATCCCTCAGGCCTTAACGGTAACGAGGCTCTCTCTCCTTATTCTTGCTGTTACAAAGTTGTCTTGAATGATAAATTCGGTTCCTCAGTTTCTTACGCGATGGCAGTCTTTAGTCTTCATGGGGGGAAACTGCAATGACTTGGTTCTAGCTACTAGGTGGCTTCCAACCTGTCCTCTAGGAGAGACCCTTGTGGCTTAGCGCTTCTTTTTGATTATAATAATAATCTAGGAGAGAGCTCATCAGGGTGAAGACTTTTTTTTCGTCTAAGGAATTGGACCCATCGGTTTTCTTGCTCAGACCAAACCTAACTACCAGATTCCCACTCCTAGTTCCCCATTTTCTTTCCTACTCTTGGCCTTTGGCGTCTTCCCCTCGGGAGAAAATCTGGATCTGGGCATATCGGATCCCTTTCCGATCTCCCTGGGGAGAGGCTTGTCTTTCGGGTGATAGGTGTATCTCTGGAAGCTGCCTGTAGGATTCAGTGGTATTAGCCTGCCCCCTGTGGACCCCTTAAGGGAGGTTCCTTGATGCTTGTGAGGGCTCTTGATCTAGGTAATTGGATCTGTACTCCAGTTCCCTGAATACCTTCAATCCCCCACATGCGCTGTATAACGCTACGGGTTTAGCGCTTCCCTGTGATTATAATAATGCCCCCCCCTGTGGAAATATAAACATGCAATATACGATCCTTTAGTTTCGCCCATGTAGTTTGCTTTAGTCACGGATCTACCTGGGCGAAACGTACGAGAGTATTTATAGAATAAGGCCGGGTCAAGTGGGAAGCTGCAAGTGACTTTAGAGTAGTCTAAAAACTTTTAGCTTTTAAAAGGAATTGGATAAGTATGAGTAGACCTTCTGTAGTGTTCCTCGGTCATTGTGTGGGATAGCGATGAAGTTTCTTGGAAAGAGGTTCAGCTTTTATAGAAGCCGTTCTTCTGGTTGGATGTACAGATAAGTGAAGATTCCAGGACTTCGGTACTTTTTTTTTTTTTTTTCTGGCGATAAGTCTTGTTTATGTAGTTAATTAAATGGTTGTGCGAATTTCGGTGTTTAACAGGCATTCCTTGGATCGTCAGATCTGCCTGCATGTACTGGTGTTCTGAAATAGGGGTTTGGAGGTCTCTGGATGTTTCGCCGACGTATAATTTGCTGCAGTCATTAAAAGGGATTGTGTACACCTGCAGATGATTGCAGCTTGTCCTGCCTATTACTGGTAATGTCCTTGATGGTGGATGTGGAGGAAGATACTTGGAATGAGGTTTTGGAAAACTTGTTGAAAACGTGTTTGGCAATGGAGTTGGTGGAAAGGACTATGCCTCTCTTCTCGGTAGTCTTCTCTGGGCGTGTTTATTTTTAATGCCCGTCGTCTGCAGTCTGAAGTGACGAGGATACTGAAGTTTGGAAAATACTTATTCAGTTAAGTGCTTTGTTCCTTAAGGAACTCATTGCTGTAGATTCTGAGTGCGCTCAGGAAAAAGCCTATAATTAGTTTAGTTTTGGTGTCGTGGTGAGTAGTAAGATCGTGTTGGTAGGTTTTCCATAGACTTTGAAACTAAGTTCTTGGTCAGCTTTGCAGAGAACATCAAGGAAAGGAGAAGTGCTGTCGACTTCTAGTGTGAACTGGATTGAGGGCTCGATCTGGTCGAGCTTGTGACAGAGCTTGAACGTTGAAGTGTCTGGGAGTTACGAGAATGTCAACATAACGTAGCCAGGTGACACGAGGGAATAATGGTGGAAAAGCGCTCGGCTTCTAGGTGTTTTTCATAGTTATCCCACATAATCGAGGAACACTGCAGAAGGTCTACTCGTATACTTATCCAATCCCTTTTAAAAGCTACCAAAGTGTTTGGACAATTACTCGGAAGATTGTCACATGCAGCTTTCTCCACCTGACCCAGCATTCTCGTCCTATAAATACTAGTGTTTTTCACCCAGGTAGATCTGTGCGACTTTATAAAGCTCACTGCACGGGTGAAACATTATTAACAAAGGATCACATACTGCATGTGTATATTTCCATTGTCTGTATTTTATACCATTTATTTCGTGACTTGCCCCCCTCATTTTTCATCTTTCACTCCTCTCCAGGGTGACTAGGTAGATGCGAGTTTGCTATCCTGGATTGTCGGTTTGCTGGTATGAAGGGTCTGGTATGGCATGGATTCCATGCCGCATCTGCACTGAGGTCCTCTTGGGCATGAAGGGGGATTAAAGGCTCGTTCCTCATAGGCACTACCCCCTTCATGTACTTTTTTTTTTCCTGCTTGATAGTGTCTTAACCTTGGAGTTCCATATCCATGAAACTTCTCCCAATCCTTTCTGCTTCAGAGCCCTCTTACTACCCCACCTCGTTATCGAACCATTCTTCGGACCCTTTCTCTTTTTGATTACAATAATAATCGGACCCTTTCTAACACCCCAGTACTTTCTTCAGGTAGGTAACATTTACTTGCCCACTCCTGATACTGAAGTTTAGCCGGACTCTTTATGCTTACGACCTCTGCACGTTTTTGACTATTCTTTTGGTTTCTATGGTGCTACGATTTTTAGATCGCCCACACATCTCAGGACAGACCACCTCACAATTCTTAAACATATTTCTCAATTCTTGCAGTGGTGCTGTAGTTCTGACTCGTAATATTGTTCAGCGTGATTTCTGGACATGATGCAGACATTCTGGAGCAACTTTGAGCTCCAAGACCTCCCAATTCTCAGGGAACACTTGTGTATTACCTTCCCACGACCAAAAATGCTTGCCCTACAATGTAGCTTGCTTAAGTTTTGACTGCGGAGAACTTCCATCCTGTTTATATTGTGGGACACTGTCAGAGTTGATCCCTACAGTGCAAAAATTGCTGGCGCTTTTGCCGCCCAGCGAAATAGGGTCCATGACAATGCCCAGTTTGTGGCGCTGCCGACCATACTAATACATCCTGCAGCCTACCTCTTGCTTTAATTGTAATGTGGGTCACCTGGCTTATTCTTGCCATTGCCAATATACCTAAAAGAACGAGAAATTTTTCTCAGACAGGAGGTACTTTGTACACCATGGCAGTCTCATCCCCTCCAAGGGAGACTTTCATGACTTTATTCTAGTGTTCCCAAGAGGTCTCCAACCTCGGTGGTACCTACTGCCACAATTTCCTCTGTAGGCACCTCTGTATCTAATTCTTTTGCAGTCCTGGATTCGGAGGTCCCCATTTCGTCGCCTCAAACTGCCATTAAATCATCTGGTTAGCATATTTCTTTCTAAAAGACCTCCCACAACTCGTAGCCCACATTGGCAGTTTGAACGAGCGAACTGGGACCTGTACTTGTCTGTTTTTAATAGAGGACCCTTCTTCCTCTTCTAACCTCAGTTTTAACCACGGCCTCACATTCTATCCCTCAATCCTCGAGTACACACTCAAAAATGCGTGCTTTGGTGGTCTGCTTGTGCTCGTGCAGTACGTTTGAAACATGCTGCATGTGGCCGATATTATTACAACAGGACCC